TGATTGGATACTTGGCTTAACTTGTGTGCATTCATATGGGTGGAGAATATACATTGTGTGGTGATATTATTGGTTATCCAAAACAAACCACATCAGAGTAAAGTCTTCACAGTGTTTCAAGGGCCATCCTCAATTGTTTGGACTTTGAGTCCAGCTTGAAAGGTGACATTTTCTCTTGATAGATTTGGGAAGGATTTGGGGGTTAACAGCCTACAAATTTTGCTTTGGCATTGTGTGACAACTGAAACACATAAAGTTGAGGTGAAGTCAGTACTACAGAGGGTTCATTCGAGAATAGGATCTCTGACTGCATTTATCAAAACTTATTGAGAGAGTGTGGAGCAGGGGCAGAAAGGAGGAGGAGGGAGGGGAAGGGAGAGAGAGAAGAGAGAGAAGATTAGAAAAAAGTGAGAGAGGAAGGGAAAGCAATGGGAAGGGAGAGAGAGGTAAAATAGATAGATAGATAGATATGAGATGTCCATGAGTATAACACCTCTATTTTAATAGCTTGTGATCTTTAGTATCAAATGCAATGTAACTTGTTAAAAACTTTATTTTAAAAAGCATAAATTATTTATTTTAGATCCTAATGTTTCGTATATTTTCGATGGGGTAGCATTTTCAACAGGAAGAACACTTTGGTTTTTTAAAATATATATATTTATGGCTATAGCATTAATGCTTTATCTGTTTGCAGTTTTCTGCCATTTCTATTTCCTTTTTGTCAGTGATTTTGAGATAGCTATTTTGTGGCAGAATTTGTTTCTCTATAATAAGTCAGTGAAGAAAAAATAAGTCAGTGAGAGTTATATTTTGGCTCATTCTCTGATGGTGATCGTAGAGATTTTATTAATATAAAACATCTAAAATCTAGAAGTCAAGAAGGATCATAATATTTAATGCTCACAATTACCTTTGAAGAGTTAACCTTTATTGTACATAGTGTGGTACTCAGGTACAAAAAGTCCTATGATAAGGTAGAATCATTTCTCAATGGCAAACCAGTGGGTTCATCATCTGACTTCTTCATGGAATTGCACAGAAGACAGTACTGATATAGCATGTATCTTGTTTGGCCCTATGGTTTTTCTTTCTTCCCTACTTATTTTTCTCTAATATACAAGCAGTTTAGAGATAAGCCAAAAATAAGTCTAGAGAAGAGCTTTGGTCATAATAAAAGCAATTCAATAAAAGCCACCCCTAGGTGGCATAAAAATATCCTTTTCCTCCAGGGTCAAAACTATGATGTCTACAGCTGGGATTCTGGAGCAACAGACTAGACAGTCTTTAAACATGTGATCTTTTACTTACACAGTCATTAACTTTTTTCTTCTTCCCTTGGGTTTGTTCAAATCTCATCATATTCATAATTGTTATTCCAGACTCTCTTCTACTGTGGAAAGAAAGAAAGAAAAATACACTGACAATCTTTGAAGAATTTTTACTTTGTTTCTGCATATTTTAAGTTTGTTTTTTGAGTTTCAAATCCTCAGAGTTGAGTTATACACATTTTGGTAGACCCACGAACCTTGCAGGAGCTGTAGTCAAGCTGACTCCTAGAAGTGTTTGAGTTCTTACCTCTTTTCAGAGTGCTTGGTTTTAAGTTACCAAAGTTATTGATCAGTGCTTTTAAATACTTATGGTAGGTGAATGCTATTTAAGATATCTTTAATATTTGAATACACAAAAGATTTGTTTTCTTTTTAACCTCTTCAATCTATTCGATCATTAACCATTTCAGTTCGATCTTTAAAAGCTACCCCTTGACATCTTTTGTAGGAAACTTTGGAATGCATTCATAAGAAATAACTGAAACGATCTTTTTTGGATATAGTTTGTTCTTCATGAACAATCACATCTCAACTTGTCCAGAATCATCCAACATTTGTTAAAAATTTCAAAATATCAAATCTTGTAGTTACTATTTTATTTGGGTATTAACTTTTATCACCAGTTTTTTTCTAAACTCTTCTAAACTCAATGTATTTATCCTGCTGGCTGGATCCATTTCCATATTTCCTGTCCTTGTCTCATCACATCTCTATCTAAGAGCTATACCTTTTGATTTTCAGGTAACATACTGAGTCACATTTAATGTACTAATTACCTAAAATAAGGGAAAAAAAGGAAATTGTGTTGACAATCATACCTCTTTTCATAAGGGTCAGATATGAGGATGACTTTAGGTTTCTGTAAATTGTCAGCTTTTTAAATGTTTAACTTTTGTTGAATTTAATTACCCAGTAAGCCTTTTTTTCTTTCATTACAGCTTCTTCAGTAATTGTAACTATTCTTGCTCTCCTGCTACACACACACACACACACACACACACACACACACACACACACACACACACATCTAAACTTTTGATGACAGAGTATAGAAATAAAAATTGCTTAACTATTCTTACAGTTTTTATTTAATGATTACCTGTTCACATTGGATGATAGTTTGAATTACATTTCTGGCAAAACGCAAGACAGATTACATGAGAAATAAATGTGCTACTGTCCACGAAAATAAAAACATCACTGTTCAGAAGAGCTGAGGGGAAGGATTGTGTCCCACTGGCTCATTGAAATTGCTACACACCATTAGGCCTTCTGTAAACTATCCCTTGATGAATTCTTTGCTGAACAATGAGCTTAAGAACCTGAGGTGTCTTCTTGCTTTTGTAGAGCAAAATAGGGCTCTGATGCTTCAGTGGAAATTGCAGAGCACATAATAGGGTGTAGGTAAAGTTACTGATGCACCACATCTCACTTTCAGGAAAGTAGTGGGAGAGATTGTGTCTTGAGAAGAAAGGCACTTTAGAGGTAACCCTTTTAAGATTTCAATTAATTATTTAAATGTATGAATCATGTGCTTAAATGTATGCTTACTTAAATGTTTGTTTCCAACGCCTGCCAAACCAGCCTTTGGAAATCATACAGAAAGCATTGTTTTGTTGTGATTGACCATGTATCTTAGAGAATTAGAAGGAAAAAAAATTGTTTTAGGTTTTTGGTGTTTAATCTCAAAGTTTGGATTAAACCTAGGAACTTTATATATGAATAATATCATTATTATCTGGGAGAGAAAAGACAATGATCATGTTCTGATTTTTAGACTGACAATTTAATACAAATAACAAGGTATGTCACATTTATACTGGTTCATTGTAGAGACACAGAAACATAGAGAAGGTTTTCAAGGGAAGTTTTTGGTAAAATTTTCAAAAAGTTACTTAAAAGTGTAATTGCACTGGAAATAAAATGATGCCTTTAAGTTATACATTTATGATACAGTTTAATATTTACTCCATTTTGCCAACAGTATTTTCTAATATTGGGACAATGAGCACATTTTAAACTTTTAGTCAAGATTATATTATTTATTTAAAAGTAATTTCTAAAAGAAATTAATTTATGTTAAGTGAAGTGAAGTAAGAGTTCTAGATTAACTATAAAGAGATGCCATATAATGTTTCAAAGGATCAAACCCAAGTGAGAATCTAAGATCTCTTATACTTATATAATACTTCTATGATAATACATATATATCATATTATACTTATCATATAATAACCTATATAAGGAAATATAGCTGAACTCTTATATAAGTTTACTTCAGTCATAATACATTTGGTATTCCATGTGTTTTATTTATAGAAACTAAACTACATGTTGTTAAACGTTTTTATTTGTCATTGAAACTCCTTCAATACTAATTAATTTTATAGACTGGGTCCATAAAAATATACTATATTTAAGGTGAAATACTATTTCTATTATTCAGATAATGGTGGAATAGGCATAAGGTTATTAAGTTAATGAAATAATCTCTTATATCAGATATATTACATTTAATAATTGCTGCTCTGATAATACTTGGAAACAAAATGGAGCATGTAAAAAAAGCTGAAAGATACAGAGCAAAAATAAGTTGACAGGAGAAGAAGAAAACAAAACAAGAACATCTGTGACAATATTTGTTAGACTTATGATACAATTCTTGAGTTACCAATTTGGATTCTTTTTTTTTCTTCTTTTTTTTTTTGTCGGTAGTGGGGCTTGAACTCTGGGTTTGGGCGCTATCCCTCAGCTCTTTAGCTCAAGGCGAGCACTCTACTGCTTGAGCCACAGCACCACTGCTGGTTTTCTAGTGGTCTTTTATTGGAAATAAGAGTCTCACTGACTTTCCTGCCTGGGTTGGCTTTGAACTGTGTTTCTCAGATCTTAGCCTCTTGAGTAGCTAGGATTACAGGTGTGAGCCATTGGCGCCCAGCTCAATCTGGGTTCTTGATTAATCATTTCTTAAAAATGTATATTTAAGGAAAGAGTGTTGGTCTTGGAATATGAAGACCAAGCCTCAAGTTTAATTCTGTTATAGTCTAGCTAAATCGTCCTGGTTTAGTCACATGACCTCTCTGGTTTTTATTTTCTGAGAGTCAGAGTCTCAGAATATACCTCCTTGTTCTGCCAACCATTTACTACTTTAACTTTTCCTGGCCATCTCCAAAGAAACAAATGCTATGTGTAATCTTTTGGACAATAGTCAAGAACAATGACTACATGTTTACATAAATTGTGCAAACACTGTCACGGCTAATATTCAGTCTTACATTCTATGAAAATCTGTTGTTTCAAAAATTAACCCAAACAATGGGAGTTACCAAGTCAAACATTAAAATTTTAAATCAACTACTTTTATTGTACTTGGATAAATGAGGTTTCTTCCTTGAGTATCTGACCCTTACCAAGTATATTGCTTTATGCAAGCTAAGAGTTTTCTGTTTGGTTTTCTATTTGACCTTTGATTGCTGCTGTTACCAGGTGGTTTGACTAAAAGAGAGAGGGCCAGAACAAATCAAGCAAATAACATTGCATACAGTTTAATAATTAATAACTGATCTGTCATAAAAAACTATATATCTGCTTCATTACTATGTTACAATGGCAAAATTTTTAACCAAAGACATCTGAAATAAAAGCAATTACTTTCTTGTTTTTTTTTTTTTCTAAACAGATCTTTTGAGTGGATAAATAATGTGTACTGCTCTGAGCCCAAAGGTACGCAGTGGACCTGGTCTATCTGATATGCATCAGTATAGCCAGTGGCTGGCCAGCAGACATGAAGCTAATTTACTCCCGATGAAAGAAGATCTTGCCCTGTGGTTAACAAATCTACTAGGTAAGGTTATAAGATATCATTTTGTGAGCAAAGACAACAAACAGTCTGTGTATGTCTGTGTGTGTATGCATTTTTTTTATATTCTCTTATAGTATACTTTAACTAAACATGTGATAGCACCTTGGAGAGAAAGACTTCCACTATTTGGGGGTTTCCTATGGGAAACTTGAAGCATATGGAAAATTTAAATGAATTTCCCTCTGTGTCTCATATTAATAGCACTTCATAATTCCAAAACCTGCATTGAAGTGTGGAAATACATGGTCAAATAGCTTATGTCATTTATATATTTTTGACTTTTCTTTCATGCAACTGACCAATTTGACCTATTCCTTTGACATTGTTCACAGGCTAGTCTGAAATCTAGCTTCTTAAAACTGGATTTCTGTGCCTTCCTTTTCTAACATACCTTCTAAAATTGCTGAATACTCAAACTCAGGAGCAAAAATATTTATCCTTTGTCCAAACAAGCTGACCAGAGTCATTTACCCTTGAACTCAAAATTTTATTTCCAATTACCCTTTCTTTTTATGTGCTCGTCTAAAAGTATTGCTGAGAAAAATGCTGTCTTATGCTAAATATGCCTCTTCTTTTGTGTCTGGCATATTCACAGAATAGCATTTGACCATGCGCAGAATAACTTCATACATTTAAAAGATCACAAGTGTATAGCAACACTATATCTACTAACAATTTTTTCCCAAAGAGTCAAATTGACTTATAACTTCAGCAAAAAAAAGCCCTTCAAAAGTTTGCAAGATATATAATTTGAATATGGAGTAGGCATAGAATTTATCATTCTGCTTTACTTTTTTCAGAAATAATTTCAACAACACTTTCATTACTTCAATAATCCCTTAGAGTTAGTATCTTTACCTTCTAGCTGATAAAAATGAGTTGCTGAGTGAAAAGTATATTATCTGAAATTTTAGCAATCTTTAACGTGTTTTTAGTGTATTCTAAGCAAGTTCTTGGCTTTGAAGTTTTGTATGACTTTGTATTTATTTTTATCTTTTTGAGTCTATCTTGTGGTTACATGTTTATTCTTCATTGTGTGTTCCCCTATTTTGGCCATTTCTAATTTTTTTCTTTTTGCTTATGTGGTGCTGAGGAATCGAAGCCAGGGCTTCATGCATGCAAGGCAAGTGCTCTACCACTGAGCCACCTTCCCAGCCCTATTTTGGCCATTTCTAATGTGCAAGTTATAACCTTCGTATAGTTTCTTATCCCAAGGTGAATCAGGCCATAAATGCAGAAGGTGCTCCCAAAAAGATCACCTAGAAAGCTGACCCAAGAATGACCTTTTACTATAGAGTTGACTCCTTATCATTGAAGTTGTCACTTCCCAGGGGAGAGGGTATCACGGCTTAATAATTTATGCATGCAAAGAGAGATCTTTTAATTTCTATAGGTAGAGGGAGTAATTTTAGCTTATGCATAGATTTGCAATCTTTCTTTGGTCTTTTCAAGGCTCATTAATGATGGCAATATTAGCAATTTATTAACTTTCTCTTTTATAATATGAACTATCATATGTATGTCAGTAGAAAAAAACGTTAACAGACGAGGCCCTGAAAATAGATTGCCTGTGTTTGAACTCTAGCTCTGTCACTTGCTAGCACTTTTATCTTCCAGCAAGTTACTTAATCTGTCTGTGACTTGTTTTCCTCATGTGTGTGGCTTACAAGTTTCTGTGGGAGTGAATAATTGAAGCATGCATAGTACTTGAAACAGTATGTATGTTGTAATCCCATTTGTATAGTTCAGTGATGTTGTTAACTTAATGTTATAAATAAGTTTATTTAGTTTCCAACAAATAAGTATGAGTGTACAACAGAACAAAGTATTATTCTAAAAAAAGAGTGAGCTCTGGAATAAGAATGGGCTGATTCAAATCTCAGTTCTACCGTTTTACTATATCATAGTGATTATCTGATTTTCCTGTGACTCATATTTATAATATGTAATATTAATGCAGTATTCATGTTAACCTTAGAGAGTTGTTGGTTGTTAAAGCAGGTAATTACCTTTAGAACAAATTAGGGCTCTTAATAGTCAACCAGTAAATAATAATTATACTTATTAAGTTCTAGATATACTCTGCTAGATCATAGAATGGTAAGAATAGTAAGAATGAACATAATACCTGTTTTAAACAGTTTGGATTAGCATTAGCAAAAAAACCCCACAATGAACGCTGGAAATGTAATCCAGTACATGGACTTGTTATTAACATTATATTGATATAGATTGCAGTTAGAATATGAATTGTGGTATGACAGCATGAAGTATCAGAAGGCTTAAGGAAACCTTTTTTAAGGGCCATATTAAAAGTGAGATCTGGGGGAATGACTACAAGATACCCAGACAAAGCATGGAATGAGAATTTTGAGGAGAGGGAAAGAAAAAATCTAGGAAAAAGTTTGATTGGAAGACAAAAAAGATCATCTCCACAACACAGAATGACAGAGTTGCATGAGGCTTGTTAGAGTTCTATCATACAGCACCTTGAATAGCATATTAAAAACCTTATTGTAATTAATGTGACCATTGAGCTGACAGTGAGATATTTGAGGCAGGGGAAAGTATGATTAGTTAAGAGTACATCCTGTCATGGCCCAATGTCCCATGATGGTGCCATTTAATTTAGTGAATGTGATCATTTACAAAGGAGTTTGATCAACATGAGCAGCCCATGACAACCTCAAGAATAGGGTCAGTGTGTGTAATGGAAAGATCCTTGGATTAAAAGTCAGGAGACCTGGCTCCTAACTGGGCATCAGGAGACCTGGCTTCTGGCTCTGGCTCTTCCACTCAATAGGAAACTTGCCCAAAGTCACTCAGCTATCTTTTCTGGGCTCAGTATCCTGAACCATAAAATGAAGGAGTTTGAGTAGATGAGCTCCAATGTCCTTTCCTGCTCCAAAAATCTAAGGTTCCAAGAAATCTATCTTTTGAGATCCAGTTTAGGGCAGTTGAGGTCATCAGGATACATAAGTAAACAAAGAAGATTATGTTAAGGAATGACTTCATTTGAAGAATACGATTTTTTTTTTTTAGATTTTAGACATTCTAACACAAATGCAATTAGTGGCTTGTGGAATTTTTTTCAGAAAAAAATAGCCTTAAAGGGCTGGCGCCATGACTCAGGTCTATAATTCTAGCTGCTTGGGTAGCTGAGATTTGAGGATAGTGTTTTGAAGCCATCCTGGGCAGGAAAGTCTGTGAGACATTTATCTACACTTAACTACCAAAGGCCAGAAATAGCGCTGTGGCTCAAGTGATAAGTGCTAACCTCAAGCACAAAAGCTCATGGACAATGTCCAGGTCCTGAGTTCAATCCCAGGATTGGTGCAAAACAAAAACAAAAAATCTCCTATAAGAATATCATTATAATGCCAAGTGTTGATGGCTCACACTTGTAATCCTAGCAACTCAGGAGGCTGAGATCTGAGGATCTCAGTTCAAAGCCAGCCAGGGCAGGAAAGTCTGTGAAACTCTTTTCTCCAATAAACCACCAGAAAACTGGAAGTGGCACTGTGGCTCAAGTGATAGAGCGCTTGCCTTGAGCTAAAGAACTAAGGAACAGCGCTAAGGCAAGTTCAAGACCCACGACTGACAAAAAGAAATAGTATCAATATGTATTGAAGTATCATGTTTATGTTGACTTCATACAAAGAAGGTAGATAACAGCCCCCAACTGTATACTCTTATGGTAACTTAAAAAGTAGTCAAAAAATTGAGATGATTCAGAGATAGGATAATAATTTTACACACTATAGTGTTAATGATATGTTAGTAGATATTTTCGTTACACATTACAGGTATATACAGTGTCCATAGAATTTGAAAATAAAAGTTGAAATTTAAAAAGATTTAGTATTTTTCATTTTATCAATTTAGAAACGTTTACAGATTTTAATGTGCAACTCTTTTAGGTTACTTTTTATGTATTTGAAATTAAGAGAAGTCTTGAAAATCGTATCAAAGTTAATTCTATTTCCATATAAAGTCCCCAATTTATTTCATGAAGAAGTATACATGTGAAATAAAGCTTTTTATGAGGGTTTGCTGTTTTGACATGAGTCCTTGCTTTATCTATGCTTAGTATACTTCTATAAAATGAATTTTTCTTTATATATTTTTTCAGAGGCATATTAATGACTTTTGAATTCAGATATATATGATCTTACATACAAAATGGTAATTGAAAATGTAGCTTGAAGAGAATGCTTAATTTGTATTTGTACTTTTTACAGTGTGGGGGTTTTGAGCTCAGAGTTTTACACTTGTAGGAGGCACCCTAATGCCGACACCATACCTCCAGCTTTTTTTATTCTGCTTAGTTTTTAGATACCTTGCTTTTTTGCCATAGCCAGCTGAGACCATGATCCTCCTATTTACACTTCTTACATATATCTAGAATAAAAAGTGCATGCCATCCTACCCAGGTTGTACTGTTGAGATGGGATTTTACAAATTATTTTGCCTAAGCTATACGCAAATTGTAATTCTCTATATCTTAGTCTCCTAAATCACTAGGATTACAGGTGTGAGTCACTGGTGCCTTACTATTTTCAGAATAAAAGTGATGTGATATGGATATCATCCACAAATATTCATATTTATATCCCAAATGTAGGTAATGTATTATAATTTTCAGGTATTATATATGTGTTTAATCACTAACAAAGATAAATATCTCTTTAGATTCCTAGGCACAGAATTAAAGAAAAAATATTAAGCAGTTAGGCAAGCTAAAATCTATGCATTCTATTGCAAAGTACTGGCTATCCTGTAGAAGGTCAGCTTGCAAAAGTGAAAAAACAATTGTGGTTGCTGGGATTTATTTAATATTATCTCATGCCAATATGACTCATGAGAAGATCTTTGTCTGATACTATCTAAGAGGAGATGGGTTAGCCTATGACAAACATTCAGAAAGACTACAAAGGAGTTATGAAGATACTATCATCCTTCCATATAAAACCTATCCTATA